TTCATTTTCTTGCACCTGCCATGCCGCATGAGCTCGTGCTCTAAGAAGGACGCATGGTGACAAACCACCCCAACCAGGGCAGCATCCCTCACAATCCCTCACATGGAGTGGCATTCCAAGGTTCTGAATCAAAGAGAGGAGAGGTGTAATTTACATGACCCACAGCTTCGCAAATCCCTGTTTATCCACATTTGGAAGCACACGAGCCGGGCGCCTTCATCTCTTCTAGCAAAGATTGGCGCTTTCGGTCAGCTTCAACCATCTGGAGCTGCAACTGCGGCAGCTCCACCTGTGACTCCTGAGGTCTGCGAGCAAACCAATCAGATCAATCAAACGTGAGTGAAAATGGTCTAAGTATGTCTAAGTGGTCCTTCGCCAACAAAAACGCGGAGAAATTGCAGGAAAATGACTATCATACCTATCGTGGAAGGATAAAATCGAGGCCATAGGAGACGGCCTTTTCCCAAAGTCGCCATTGAGCTGGCCAGCTTTTTGGACTCAGACTGCTACTCATAGCACACGGTAACATATGACAGACATTGACATACATAAACCCTCCTAGACCTTCCAAGCTGTCCAATCGAGATCCACCAGTCAGTAGTGTGCTGGCTTCTATTGAAAAAAAACTGTGAAACTGTTGGAGTTCCTGCACATATATGAGCAGTATCCATGCTAGTTTGCCTCATCCGCCGCTGCCGCCACCCCCCCCAAAACATCGGCGGACCATGTCCACAGCGGTGCACGAAGCTTTTCACTCCTTGAGGCTCTTCTCCAGGGAACCCGTACCCTTGGCGCCTCACGTGCGCGAGTGGAGTCCGTCTCCGGCCACCCTACTGTTCCATCCGGTGGCACCAGAGGCCGGTGACGGGGAGGCACCGACTGGCGACCTCTGAAAGGTGTGGTCTTTGGACCCCCAAAAGGGTGGTGAATGCACAGGGCTCCACCACCAACGGCACCCCATGGGCAGGTTTTGTGAAGAACATGGTCCAACCGAAATTCCTAACCGCCAAGAAATAGCCCATCGATCCAACCGTTCATATACGTAGTGCCGAACGTTCTTTGGTCCTCTGCTGCCGCGTGCCGAGCCCAATTCCGCGCGACACAGGCACTAGACCTGCTGACCCACCGAAAAATCCCTGACCGCAACTAGTAGTTTATTGTTACTAGTAGCGATGGCCTCCAACCTACTAGCAATGGCCTCCACCTAGTAGCTTCTGGCTACTAGTAGCTTCACTTTGGCCCCTTGTTTCAGGCGCGTGGCAAAAGCTCCCAAAGTCCCCGTAGAGCGCCGATTCCCTCCTGAGAAAGAGTCGAAGTTAATTACTCCTGGTGTTCATTGGAGAACGTTCGAAGGGTGTATAACTCTCAACGACTAAGATGGTGAAAAACATTGAACAAAAAAAAGAGAATGAAGGGGCGGGGTCAATGGCCAAACACTTCCTGACTCGCCTCCTAAAGGGAACCATTCTTGTGAACATGTCAAGACCACAGCACAACCACCTGCACCTCCAAACGTTAACAAAACTATTTATGAACCTCATGATTTCTGATTCTAATCAAAGGAACTCACCCTCCCAGCTTGACCTGTGTCCCCAGCAGCCACTGCCCTGTCCTGCTTCGCACATCCACCCTCTTGGCCAAAGCCTTGAGCACCCGAAGCACCTCTTTCACTGGGCCAGAAGCCACCTGGAGAGTGATGTCAAACCCGGAAGTGGACACTGCAAGCCATACCTCAAAGCCTCACGCCACATGTGCGCTATTCTTTTTCAGGTCGTTGGCCTCGCTTTTCGTGCTGAAACGCATGGGCTTTTTCAAGCGCTTCTCATGATGTGGCTGTCTGCAGCGGAGCGGGCGGGCTCCGGGCTCCACATCCCAACGGTGCATCGTTTCGACTCACCGGCCCAACGAGTCACCAGACGATTGAGGAGGAACATCCGAACATGGGCAAAGCACGAGGCAAAAGCATGTAACGGTATGTAGAGGATTATCAATCACTATGTTTGAGCAAGGTCATTACTCATCATCATCATCATCACCATCATCATCATCATCATCATCATCATCATCATCATCATCCACTCTCACAGGGAGGGGCACACCTCGCCCACATCTTCCAAAACGCACGACATCGGAAAAAAATCAGTACCCAGATCTACTTCGATCTTCGCACCCCCCAAACGTGGCGATCGGTGAACTTCCTGTCACCTGTCCCTGCACTCTGCGCCTCGGTGGCTTTTGGAGTCGACACAGGTCCTGCGTAGCGGCCATGGGCCGCGCCTTGACACCCGTGGTGGGCTGGTGGGTGAACAGTGAAATCATGAAACATCTCAGTCTGGTAGGCTTTTGGTGGACCCTGGCAGTGCCATAATATCCTCTTGGTTACCCCAGAATGATTCATTCATCAACTAGCCCACTTGGAAGTCCGTGATCTACCACTACCGAGTACCAATGGGTCGAGTACGGGGTACCATGACTCTCAGGGCTTTCTTCTGACGCCTCGGTGAAGATCTTTGCATCTGTCCTTCCGATTCCGCCGCTGAGTCATCAGCAACGTCCTAGCAACGTCATCTGCATGGTCAAAACAGGGTGAGTATCTATGTAATGAAATGCACAGAGTAATGAATCGTGATGATAATTAAAAGAACAGCGACAAAGACCATCACGGTCCGGGGTGGCAACAGGGGAAGTTCAGATTCACTCGATTACAAGGATATGCAATTATATACATATATACACATAATTCATAACTATATATATATATACAAGTTCGCTAAAGAACATGGATTCCATGTCCGAAGGAAACGGCCACTAGTTGCAATGCTGCTTTGTTGGAATCAGGAAGCATCGCCTCCAGCGAAATGCGCTGATTTCACGCCTCCAAGGAAATGACGTGAAGCAGCTGACAGCTGGCCTTGACTGGGCCAGTTCCCAGAAGTGTTGCCAGTGATCCAGGGAATTTCTCAGATGGGGATAGATCAAAACTTGGAGCCCTTCCACCCTGGAGCAAACGACCTGGCCCCAGGTCAACCTGGTTTGGACAGTTTGGACCCAATGTCTCATCTATATGAGCAGGTCCGCGACTCCAAATAGACTCCTATTGGAACGGCCAAACGAGAGCGCTGCTTTCATTTAGCAACCATGCAACATCTTCCAACATCTTCCAGTACATGAAATGGACGCCGTCCGGGGATCGACATGTGAAAAGGCAGTGCGAGCTTGTCAGCTAGACTCTGCAGGAAGACTGGAAGAGCACTTTCCATGTTGGAGGTGTGTCCATTTGCTTGATCCCACCGGCGAAATATGTAACTATGGCCTAAAGAACTCCTGCTGCGAGCCATGGAGAATCTACATCTTTCCTTGGTATATGATGTAGACTCTTGATTAGTAAAAGCGCACGATTTGGCTTGTAAAGCCTCGTCATGGGGGGTGTTTACTACTCAGGAGTCTACATTCATGGGCTCTCTTCCACAAAGGGGGGTCGCCAGGCCTCGACTTCAGCCGAGGAGCTACACACCAGAGCAGCGATCCCAGTCTCATGACGGCAGGACCTGGCCAGTTAGACCAGAAGACTGGAGGCCACACGGTGACTGGACCTCTTGTGCCAAAACAACCTCTATAAAGAGCAACTCAATCCCGTCTCATGCTGAGAGGGTCTCTGAAAACCAAGTCTGCACACACACAGAGTGCGAGTGCTTCAGATATGCTAAATCGCAGAAATTCGCAAGAATTCGCAAGAATTGCTGGGGCCACTTCAGGCTGTGCTATGACGTTGAGCCTCAAAAACCACCATCAGAACAATGTCTCTATAGATTCAACACCGGACGTGCTCAAGCACCCCAGTGATAAACTGAATTCTGCAGGGGGTGGCTGCACCCTCCTATGGTATTATACAGTATGCATGCTCTGGCATAGTACATTGACCCATCTTGGCCCTTGAAACCACCCCAATGGAATCCCGTGGATCCTTCGGAACGGCCGAGGATGTTCTTCTCTCTTCACGGCCACACTTGGGGGGGCCCTGTTGAGTTTCATACTGAACTGGGTGGATTCCGGTCCACACCTGACTGCAGTATCTCATACATTGGAGAGATATTCATGCATCCAATTCAGGTGCCAAAAATGAAACAAACGAAGAAAAGCACAACACCACTCTTCGAATGCCCGTGTTCCCTTTCCTTGCAAGTTTTGTTGGTTGTGTTCCAACATCAACTGGCTGCCGGTCGACGCCGTCAGGCTGGTCGACGCCGTCTTCTCCGCCTCACTTCATTGGGTGCGGGTCTCTCGACCCGGAGAAGCCGCTCGAGACGGGCCCGATTCGACCCCTTGAGCCAGGCGGCGGGGCGGGCAGGGCGCGACGGAGTGGGCGGGCGGGCGGACCGTCGGTGAAACACATTGGACTCATTGACTCCGGGCCAGACTCTGGGCACCAGGAAAGACGGGCTATGCAAGCGAAATACCAAGGAAGTACCAATACAAACAAAAACGATCAAAAAAGATTCCTGGCACGTGTACCTTGTAACCCCTCTTCGGCTGAGGACTTGCAAGCTGCAAGGTCCCACGACTTCAAAGGGATGTGTGCGTGTGTGTGCATCGAGATGCATCTCCGCGATTGGTCTTTTCAAACGGAACAAGGGACTCGCATGGCCCAATTCATGTCGTACGTGCGCTAAACAGAGTTTGCCAGGCTTCTGTCCGCTGTCAGCTGGTTTCTTAGGCTTGTCTGCCAATTGGTGCAGTCTTTTTGACTGAGATCAAGCAAGCAACTCATCGTGTATGCACCGCACGTGAACAAAAACATCTGCCGATGGAGTCGCTTCACCATGTGGCTCTCCAAAGTAGAAAACAGCTCCGTGGAACATGTCTCTATAATAGAAACATCTACATAGATGAAACGTGAATGATCCAAAAAAGACCCCTCAGCTACTCCACAGTTATATAAATTCTCAGAAGGCTGTCTGAATAGCCTGAGTTGCATGTCTGCCCTCAACCCACCGATATGTTTACACCGTAGCATCCTTCCGATCGGCCTCCACCAAGCTAAGCGCTGCCCCACCAGGCCCAGCAAAGTGCGCGACCTGCCGTACCTCGCAGCCGGTGGTTCTCACTGGGGTGGTTTCTGCAATAGAGATGCATAGCCAAGGGTCAATAGAGACCCTCTGAGCCCTATAGGCTCTTCTACATTCGAGATGAAAGATGATGAAAGCATGTCATGTCTACTTGGCTACCCTCGTCTTGCAGTTCTCAAGCATGTCTACTCGGGGTGCACACCCAGGTTTGACCGACATCCCAAAACCAAACTTCAAGCACTCCATATCCCGCCAAGGCATCCCGCCATGGTCTTCGCGGGTAGTCCAATTCCTGAGTGCCCGCGAATGAGACCACCGTCGCCACTATGGTAGGTCCCCAAGGTCTGCTGATCTCCAGCAGCAGCAAGGGCTTGCAGGGGCCTCCGAAGCCTGGAGAAATCACCACTTCAACGCTTTTGGACCTTGAAAGCGGCTCACCCAGAACGCTCTGAACTGGAGCCCAGTGGCGCGCCGGGAGGCAGCGCTTGGACGTCTCGCCCTTGGCCGGCTGAATCCTGCGGCGGTGACCGGCGAGTTGTGCGGGGTTTCGACCTCGACGGATCGGGAAAGAATTTCATGTTCGCCCAAGGGAAGGACAGTGATGCCAAGCTCCGGTTATGCGACTGTCTGCTGGACTATGAGGAAATCTCTGGTGATGAGACTTGTTATTGAATATGCTGAAATGGGCCATATAAAAAAAAAACAGGTATCAGCCTGATCTCATGGCATGACTTTTCATACTGTGATCATGTGCACACTTTGCTTCGGAAACACGGACTGATATTGGCGATTGACTTGCTCACCCAAGGGCAGTCTTGTGAGGTCACTCACAAAGATGCCACATGAAACAACAACAACAACAACAACGACAACAGCAACAGCAACAGAAACAGCAACAGCAACAACAAAACAACAACAACAAAACAACAACAACAACAACAAAACAACAACAACAACAACAACAACAACAACAGCAGCAGCAGCAGCACCAGCACCAGCACCAACAGCACCAACAACCCCAACAACACCAACAACACCAACAACACCA